AATGGCACAAACCGAGCCGCGCATTCTCCACCAAATCTGTTAGGATTTAGCAGACAGAGACGGATCGTGGTGTGCCAAACTCTGGAAGTTTATTTAAGTTTTCTCTCAAGTTCCACTGGTTTCCTCTGTTTCTTTCTCTCAGACAGAATAAAGGCAGTACACAGTTTATATAGTCATTGTCACGTCACACATCGAAAGACATACGTGTCACAAAGAGACAGTCAAATCATAGTCATAACATGGAGTCCTTGTAGAGTCCTTGTAGAGTCCTGCACGTAGGCCATATTGCTATCTAATACTAACAGACACATGTCAGACCCTCCCCTTCTTAGAGACACATGTCAGACCCTCCCCCTGCTCCTTTGACACATGTCAGACCCTCCCCTTCTTAGAGACACATGTCAGACCCTCCCCCTGCTCCTTTGACACATGTCAGACCCTCCCCTTCTTAGAGACACATGTCAGACCCTCCCCCTTGCTCCTTTGACACATGTCAGACCCTCCCCTTCTTAGAGACACATGTCAGACCCTCCCCCTGCTCCTTTGACACATGTCAGACCCTCCCCTTCTTATAGACACATGTCAGACCCTCCCCTTCTTATAGACACATGTCAGACCCTCCCCCTGCTCCTTAGAGACATGTCAGACCCTCCCCCTGCTCCTTTGACACATGTCAGACCCTCCCCCTGCTCCTTTGACACATGTCAGACCCTCCCCTTCTTATAGACACATGTCAGACCCTCCCCTTATAGACACAGACCCTCATAACATGACACAGGGCCCCAACTGGGCCGCGGGCCAGAGTTTGGACATGCTTTAGGGCAGGTTATATGTGGTTACTTCAGCACTAAACATGTAAACATAAGTATACACGGTATATCTGCGTGGTGCATCTTTAGACGACTCAGTTTATAGAAACCTGATTAAATTCAAAGCTATGACATGTTTTTGTGAAGATTAAAGTGTTCGTTGTAAATAGTGTCAGGACCATCAGACTTCTACAGCCTTGGCCTCACACTGGTGCAGTCTGATGGTTCTCAAAGTAGATTCAAAAGTTTTCTTGTACATTTTAAATTGGCAAACACTGAACTTGCTTTTTCATCTCTCGTCTTTCTGGTCTTTCTTTCTCTTTCTTTTCTCTCTCTCTTCTCAAACTGTTGATTTTCTTGTGTTTTGTGAACGAGAAGCACCTCTGAGATGTCCTGAACCGTGACCTTGTGATTCTAGCGGCAGATTAGCTCCAGCCGCTGACGTGGACGCTGCAGACGCTGCAGACTCAGAGTAAACAGAGTGTAGCATGAGTTTAGTGTGAGGCACCACTAACCTCCGCATGAGACCCACGTGACAGAGCGTGGTCACTGCATGTTCTGCGGTGACTCTGATCCCGGTGTGAACAAACACACGACATCAGAGTAGGATCATGAGGACTCTCTCTGAGCTAACCTCTGATGGACCAGACCTGTGCTATATTCTGTTCACTTCATTGTGTTTGTCTGACACACACACACAGTTGTGGATTCCCCAATAATAGATCAGAGAATCAAAGAGTTCAAACACAATGCAAGGATGACAGAGACATTGGTTCAGAGAGAGCAGGATGACCGCTGTCCTCCTGTTTTCTACTAGATTTATTCAAAGTTTAGATTTATTAAAACACTGACATAGAATTCAACTTAATATAGAAACAAAGAGACCTAAGCATGTACACACTTGAGTCTGGTCCATCAGCAGCAGCTCTCAGGAGGCGGGCTCTCTGACTCTCCTCTGCTCTGATAGGCTGAGACTGCCGCCAATCGCATCTGCAAAGTGCTGGCCGTGAACCAGGACAACGAACGACTGATGGAGGACTACGAGAAACTGGCCAGTCAGGTGAGACCCGGCTTTAGGACCCGGCTTTAGGACCCGGTCCTCTCTGGTCTCTCTCTGATGTCTCTCTCTGATGTCTCTCTCTGATGTCTCTCTCTGATGTCTCTCTCTGATGTCTCTCTCTGATGTCTCTCTCTGGTCTCCCTCTGGTCTCCCTCTGGTCTCTCCCTGATGTCTCCCTCTGGTCTCTCTCTCTGGTCACTCCCTCTGGTCACTCCCTCTGGTCACTCCCTCTGGTCTCTCCCTCTGGTCTCTCCCTCTGGTCTCTCCCTCTGGTCTCTCCCTCTGGTCTCTCCCTCTGGTCTCTCCCTCTGGTCTCTCCCTGATGTCTCCCTGGTCTCTCCCTCTGGTCTCTCCCTCTGGTCTCTCCCTCTGGTCTCTCCCTGGTCTCTGATGGTGCTTTGCCTCACAGTTGCTGGAGTGGATCCGTCGTACCATCCCGTGGTTGGAGAACCGAGCCCCAGAGAAGACCATGGCAGAGATGCAGCAGAAGTTGGAGGACTTCAGGGACTATCGCCGCGTCCACAAACCTCCCAAGGTCTGTCCTGGGACCATCAACGCTCACTGGTCCATCGCTGCACCCATAGTTTCATGGATTCTGTTGTGGTCTTAAAAGTCAAACTGAAATGGTTTTGTGTGTTCAGGTCCAGGAGAAATGCCAGTTGGAGATCAGCTTTAACACACTTCAGACCAAACTGCGGCTCAGCAACAGACCGGCCTTCATGCCCTCAGAGGGACGCATGGTGTCTGTACGTATCTCCCTCTGAGACTGATGGTGTCTGTCTGATGGTGTCTGTACGCATCTCCCTCTGGGACTGATGGTGTCTGTCTGATGGTGTCTGTACGTATCTCCCTCTGAGACTGATGGTGTCTGTCTGATGGTGTCTGTACGTATCTCCCTCTGAGGCCCTATAGGACTGATGGTGCCTGTCAGTGTCTGATGGTGTCTCTCAGTGTCTGATGGTGCCTGTCAGTGTCTGATGGTGTCTGTCGTGCAGGACATAAACGGGGCGTGGCAGACCCTGGAGGGCGGAGAGAAAGGGTACGAGGAGTGGCTGCTGAACGAGATCCGGCGTCTGGAGCGTCTGGACCATCTGGCAGAGAAGTTCAGGCAGAAGGCCGCCATCCACGAGTCCTGGACCAACGGTGAGACACGCCATTCTTCTTCTCCTCAGATATCTGCAGCTTCACTTGTTTTATTGTGAGTTGATACGATTGGTGCAGACGTGGATGACAGACATTTGCAGCGGCCAATGAGCAGCTGTGATGTGGAACATTTCTGGTAAATTTCCACGGGGTATTTTGGGAATATTCCATAATTGTAATATAATAAAATAGTATCGTATCCATAAATATAAACCTTAGTCATAAGAAAACATCCATGGCTGAGGCCGAGACAAAGAATTAGAAATACACACTTGACATTTTGGAATCCATAACACTGCCCTCTGGTGGACAAAATAATAGCTATAACTTTTTTATACCCAAAGAGATATTACAATTAAGTTTTAATGTTAATGAAACAATGAAATTCAAATATTGTTTTTGAGCTGAAGTTTCAGTCCTACTCTGTATACACTCTCTGTGTCTCTCTGTCTCTCTGTCTCTCTGTGTCTCTCTGTGTCTCTCTGTGCCTCTCTGTGCCTCTCTGTGTCTCTCTGTGTGACTCTGTGTCTCTCTGTGTCTCTCTGTGTCTCTCTGTGTCTCTGTGTGTCTCTGTGTCTCTGTGTCTCTGTGTCTCTCTGTGACTCTGTGTCTCTCTGTGTCTCTCTGTGTGACTCTGTGTCTCTGTGACTCAGGTAAGGAGGCCATGCTGACCCAGAAGGAGTACGAGTCTGCGAACCTGTCGGAGGTGAAGGCGCTGCAGCGGAAGCACAAGGCGTTCGAGAGCGAGCTCACGGCGCATCAGGACCGTGTGGAGCAGATCGCCGCCATCGCTCAGGAGCTAAAGTAAGTGTTTAAAGTAAGCTCCTGACGTGTGAAGACGGCAAAACCCATGAACCGGGCCCCATCCGGGGGTCGCAGGGGTTCAGATGGTGGAAAGGGAAGTTTATTTGTACTGCACAGTTCATGCACAAGGCTTTCCAGCTGATTGGCCGTCACTGATCAGAGACTCAGAGTTCAAACGACGGAAATGCAATGATGTAAACACATCTGTTTATGTAGATACTAAGTGTGTCTTTGTGTGTGTGTGTCTTTGTGTGTCTGCAGTGACCTGGACTACTACGACTCCCCCAGTGTGAACGCTCGCTGTCAGAGCATCTGTGAGCAGTGGGACGTTCTGGGGACGCTCACGACGAGTCGGCGGGACGCGCTGGAGGTCAGACTCTCAGACGCACAGTCGGGGCGCGCACACAGTTGGGGCGCGCACACAGTCGGGGCGCGCACACAGTCGGGGCGCGCATACAGTTGGGGCGCGCACACAGTTGGGGCGCGCACACAGTTGGGGCGCGCACACAGTTGGGGCGCGCACACAGTTGGGGCGCGCACACAGTTGGGGCGCGCACACACAGTCGGGGCGCGCACACACAGTCGGGGCGCGCACACACAGTCGGGGCGCGCACACACAGTCGGGGCGCGCACACACAGTCGGGGCGCGCACACACAGTCGGGGCGCGCACACAGTCGGGGCGCGCACACAGTCGGGGCGCGCACACATTCGGGGCTGCACACTCGGACTCTCGGACGCACACTCGAGACGCACACTCGGACTCTCGGACGCACACTCGAGACGCACACTCGGACTCTCGGACGCACAGTCGAGACGCACACTCGGACTCTCGGACGCACAGTCGAGACGCACACTCGGACTCTCGGACGCACAGTCGAGACGCACACTCGGGACTCTCGGACGCACAGTCGAGACGCACACTCGGACTCTCGGACGCACAGTCGAGACGCACACTCGGACTCTCGGACGCACAGTCGAGACGCACACTCGGACTCTCGGACGCACAGTCGAGACGCACACTCGGACTCTCGGACGCACAGTCGAGACGCACACTCGGACTCTCGGACGCACAGTCGAGACGCACACTCGGACTCGGACTCTCGGACGCACAGTCGAGACGCACACTCGGACTCTCGGACGCACAGTCGAGACGCACACTCGGACTCTCGGACGCACAGTCGAGACGCACACTCGGACTCTCGGACGCACAGTCGAGACGCACACTCGGACTCTCGGACGCACAGTCGAGACGCACACTCGGACTCTCGGACGCACAGTCGAGACGCACACTCGGACTCTCGGACGCACAGTCGAGACGCACACTCTCGGACTCTCGGACGCACAGTCGAGACGCACACTCGGACTCTCGGACGCACAGTCGAGACGCACACTCGGACTCTCGGACGCACAGTCGAGACGCACACTCGGACTCTCGGACGCACAGTCGAGACGCACACTCGGACTCTCGGACGCACAGTCGAGACGCACACTCGGACTCTCGGACGCACAGTCGAGACGCACACTCGGACTCTCGGAGCCGAGCGGACGCACAGTCGAGACGCACACTCGGACTCTCGGACGCACAGTCGAGACGCACACTCGGACTCTCGGACGCACAGTCGAGACGCACACTCGGACTCTCGGACGCACAGTCGAGACGCACACTCGGACTCTCGTGGACGCACAGTCGAGACGCACACTCGGACTCTCGGACGCACAGTCGAGACGCACACTCGGACTCTCGGACGCACAGTCGAGACGCACACTCGGACTCTCGGACGCACAGTCGAGACGCACACTCGGACTCTCGGACGCACAGTCGAGACGCACACTCGGACTCTCGGACGCACAGTCGAGACGCACACTCGGACTCTCGGACGCACAGTCGAGACGCACACTCGGACTCTCGGACGCACAGTCGAGACGCACACTCGGACTCTCGGACGCACAGTCGAGACGCACACTCGGACTCTCGGACGCACAGTCGAGACGCACACTCGGACTCTCGGACGCACAGTCGAGACGCACACTCGGACTCTCGGACGCACAGTCGAGACGCACACTCGGACCTCGGACGCACAGTCGAGACGCACACTCGGACGCACAGTCGAGACGCACCGGACTCGGACGCACAGTCGAGACGCACAGTCGGACGACACAGTCGAGACACTCGGACGCACAGTCGAGACGCACACTCGACATCGGACGCACTCGGAGGCGCACACGTGACGCACAGTCGAGACGCACACTCGGACGCACAGTCGAGACGCACACTCGGACGCACAGTCGAGACGCACACTCGGACGCACAGTCGAGACGCACACTCGGACGCACAGTCGAGACGCACACTCGGACGCACAGTCGAGACGCACACTCGGACGCACAGTCGAGACGCACACTCGGACGCACAGTCGAGACGCACACTCGGACGCACAGTCGAGACGCACACTCGGACGCACAGTCGAGACGACGCACAGTCGGACGCCACGAGCACAGTCGAGACGCACACTCGGACGCACAGTCGAGACGCACACTCGGACGCACAGTCGAGACGCACACTCGGACGCACAGTCGAGACGCACACTCGGACGCACAGTCGAGACGCACACTCGGACGCACAGTCGAGACGCACATCGAGCACATCGAGACGCCACTCGGACGCACAGTCGAGACGCACACTCGGACGCACAGTCGAGACGCACACTCGACGACGGACGCACAGTCGAGACGCACACACTCGGACGCACAGTCGCACACTCGGACGCACAGTCGAGACGCACACTCGAGACGCACAGTCGAGACGCACACTCGGACGCACAGTCGAGACGCACACTCGGAGCACAGTCGAGACGCACACTCGGACGCACAGTCGAGACGCACACTCGGACGCACAGTCGAGACGCACACTCGGACGCACAGTCGAGACGCACACTCGGACGCACAGTCGAGACGCACACTCGGACGCACAGTCGAGACGCACACTCGGACGCACAGTCGAGACGCACACTCGGACGCACAGTCGAGACGACGCACAGTCGAGACGCACACTCGGACGCACAGTCGAGACGCACACTCGGACGCACAGTCGAGACGCACACTCGGACGCACAGTCGAGACGCACACTCGGACGACGCACAGTCGAGACGCACACTCGGACTCTCGGACGCACACAGTCGAGACGCACACTCGGACTCTCGGACGCACAGTCGAGACGCACACTCGGACTCTCGGACGCACAGTCGAGACGCACACTCGGACTCTCGGACGCACAGTCGAGACGCACACTCGGACTCTCGGACGCACAGTCGAGACGCACACTCGGACTCTCGGACGCACAGTCGAGACGCACACTCGGACTCTCGGACGCACAGTCGAGACGCACACTCGGACTCTCGGACGCACAGTCGAGACGCACACTCGGACTCTCGGACGCACAGTCGAGACGCACACTCGGACTCTCGGACGCACAGTCGAGACGCACACTCGGACTCTCGGACGCACAGTCGAGACGCACACTCGGACTCTCGGACGCACAGTCGAGACGCACACTCGGACTCTCGACGCACAGTCGAGACGCACACTCGGACTCTCGGACGCACAGTCGAGACGCACACTCGGACTCTCGGACGCACAGTCGAGACGCACACTCGGACTCTCGGACGCACAGTCGAGACGCACACTCGGACTCTCGGACGCACAGTCGAGACGCACACTCGGACTCTCGGACGCACAGTCGAGACGCACACTCGGACTCTCGGACGCACAGTCGAGACGCACACTCGGACTCTCGGACGCACAGTCGAGACGCACACTCGGACTCTCGGACGCACAGTCGAGACGCACACTCGGACTCTCGGACGCACAGTCGAGACGCACACTCGGACTCTCGGACGCACAGTCGAGACGCACACTCGGACTCTCGGACGCACAGTCGAGACGCACACTCGGACTCTCGGACGCACAGTCGAGACGCACACTCGGACTCTCGGACGCACAGTCGAGACGCACACTCGGACTCTCGGACGCACAGTCGAGACGCACACTCGGACTCTCGGACGCACAGTCGAGACGCACACTCGGACTCTCGGACGCACAGTCGAGACGCACACTCGGACTCTCGGACGCACAGTCGAGACGCACACTCGGACTCTCGGACGCACAGTCGAGACGCACACTCGGACTCTCGGACGCACAGTCGAGACGCACAGTCGAGACGCACAGTCGAGACGCACAGTCGAGACGCACAGTCGGACTCTCGGACGAGACGCACACTCTGACTCTCGGACGCACAGTCGAGACGCACACTCGGACGCACAGTCGGACGCACAGACGCACAGAGAGACGCACACTCGGACGCACAGTCAAGACGCACACTCGGACGCACAGTCGAGACGCACACTCGGACGCACAGTCGAGACGCACACTCGGACGCACAGTCGAGAGCACGTCGAGACGCACACTCGGACGCACTCGGACGCACAGTCGAGACGCACACTCGGACTCTCGGACGCACAGTCGAGACGCACACTCGGACTCTCGGACGCACAGTCGAGACGCACACTCGGACTCTCGGACGCACAGTCGAGACGCACACTCGGACTCTCGGACGCACAGTCGAGACGCACACTCGGACTCTCGGACGCACAGTCGAGACGCACACTCGGACTCTCGGACGCACAGTCGAGACGCACACTCGGACTCTCGGACGCACAGTCGAGACGCACACTCGGACTCTCGGACGCACAGTCGAGACGCACACTCGGACTCTCGGACGCACAGTCGAGACGCACACTCGGACTCTCGGACGCACAGTCGAGACGCACACTCGGACTCTCGGACGCACAGTCGAGACGCACACTCGGACTCTCGGACGCACAGTCGAGACGCACACTCGGACTCTCGGACGCACAGTCGAGACGCACACTCGGACTCTCGGACGCACAGTCGAGACGCACACTCGGACTCTCGGACGCACAGTCGAGACGCACACTCGGACTCTCGGACGCACAGTCGAGACGCACACTCGGACTCTCGGACGCACAGTCGAGACGCACACTCGGACTCTCGGACGCACAGTCGAGACGCACACTCGGACTCTCGGACGCACAGTCGAGACGCACACTCGGACTCTCGGACGCACAGTCGAGACGCACACTCGGACTCTCGGACGCACAGTCGAGACGCACACTCGGACTCTCGGACGCACAGTCGAGACGCACACTCGGACTCTCGGACGCACAGTCGAGACGCACACTCGGACTCTCGGACGCACAGTCGAGACGCACACTCGGACTCTCGGACGCACAGTCGAGACGCACACTCGGACTCTCGGACGCACAGTCGAGACGCACACTCGGACTCTCGGACGCACAGTCGAGACGCACACTCGGACTCTCGGACGCACAGTCGAGACGCACACTCGGACTCTCGGACGCACAGTCGAGACGCACACTCGGACTCTCGGACGCACAGTCGAGACGCACACTCGGACTCTCGGACGCACAGTCGAGACGCACACTCGGACTCTCGGACGCACAGTCGAGACGCACACTCGGACTCTCGGACGCACAGTCGAGACGCACACTCGGACTCTCGGACGCACAGTCGAGACGCACACTCGGACTCTCGGACGCACAGTCGAGACGCACACTCGGACTCTCGGACGCACAGTCGAGACGCACACTCGGACTCTCGGACGCACAGTCGAGACGCACACTCGGACTCTCGGACGCACAGTCGAGACGCACACTCGGACTCTCGGACGCACAGTCGAGACGCACACTCGGACTCTCGGACGCACAGTCGAGACGCACACTCGGACTCTCGGACGCACAGTCGAGACGCACACTCGGACTCTCGGACGCACAGTCGAGACGCACAGTCGAGACGCACAGTCGAGACGCACAGTCGAGACGCACAGTCGAGACGCACAGTCGAGACGCACAGTCGGACTCTCGGACGAGACGCACACTCGGACTCTCGGACGCACTGTGAACTTTAAAACCAAAATACAGCCTCAGTCACACATGTCACTCACAACAAAGGACATACCCCCAAGAGACGTGTCCTCCCCCTCAATCTATGCTCCTCTCTCCCCCACAGTCTGGTTCTCTCTCCCCCACAGTCTGGTTCTCTCTCCCCCACAGTCTGGTCCTCTCTCCCCCACAGTCTGGTCCTCTCTCCCCCCACAGTGGCGGCACGGTGGCTGAGTGGATAGCACTCTCGCTTCTCAGCAAGAAGGTCCTGGGTTCGAATCCTGGTCGGACCAGGGCCTTTCTGAGTGGAGTTTGCATGTTCTCCCCGTGTCTGCGTAGGTTTCCTCCGGGTACTCCGGTTTCCCCTACCACTAAAAATATGTCCAATAGTTCTAGCATGCGCCTCCTGTACTGGCCGCGCTCCCATCTCTGTGTGGAGTGAGAGACAAGTGCCCAAAAATTAACAATTGTAAAACCGCTTTGAGACTCAGATCTGCAGTGAAAAGGCGGTATATAAATAAAAACTACTTACAGTCTGGGCCTCTCTCCCCCACAGTCTGGTCCTCTCTCCCCCACAGTCTGGGCCTCTCTCCCCCACAGTCTGGTCCTCTCTCCCCCACAGTCTGGTCCTCTCTCCCCCACAGTCTGGTCCTCTCTCCCCCACAGTCTGGTCCTCTCTCCCCCACAGTCTGGTCCTCTCTCCCCCACAGTCTGGGCCTCTCTCCCCCACAGTCTGGGCCTCTCTCCCCCACAGTCTGGTCCTCTCTCCCCCACAGTCTGGGCCTCTCTCCCCCACAGTCTGGTCCTCTCTCCCCCACAGTCTGGGCCTCTCTCCCCCACAGTCTGGTCCTCTCTCCCCCACAGTCTGGGCCTCTCTCCCCCACAGTCTGGTCCTCTCTCCCCCACAGTCTGGTCCTCTCTCCCCCACAGTCTGGTCCTCTCTCCCCCACAGTCTGGGCCTCTCTCCCCCACAGTCTGGGCCTCTCTCCCCTACGGTCTGGCCCTCTCTCCCCCACAGTCTCTGGCCCTCTCTCCCCCACGGTCTGGGCCTCTCTCCCCCACAGTCTCTGGGCCTACAGTCTCTGGGCCTCTCTCCCCCACAGTCTCTGGGCCTCTCTCCCCCACAGTCTGGGCCTCTCTCCCCCACAGTCTGGGCCTCTCTCCCCCACAGTCTGGGCCTCTCTCCCCCACAGTCTGGGCCTCTCTCCCCACAGTCTGGGCCTCTCTCCCCCACAGTCTGGTCCTCTCTCCCCCACAGTCTGGGCCTCTCTCCCCCACAGTCTGGTCCTCTCTCCCCCACAGTCTGGGCCTCTCTCCCCCACAGTCTGGGCCTCTCTCCCCCACAGTCTGGGCCTCTCTCCCCCACAGTCTCTGGGCCTCTCTCCCCCACGGTCCATGGTCCTCACACATGGTGTTTCCATACATGTGTCCGCAGAACACGGAGAAGCAGCTGGAGGCCATAGATGAGATGTACCTGGAATACGCCAAGAGAGCTGCACCTTTCAACAACTGGATGGAAGGAGCCATGGAGGACCTGCAGGACATGTTCATAGTCCACACCATCGAGGAGATCGAGGTAAGCCCCGCCCCTCTCTCATCCATCTCATCTATCGATCTATCTCCTCTCGTCCATACAAATGTGTCAGTTACACCAGCTCAGCCCAAACCTCCTTCACGCACAGTGATGTCACATGTCTCAGTAGTGATGTCACATGTCTCAGTAGTGATGTCACATGTCTCAGTTGTGATGTCACACGTGTGTCCCCAGGGCCTGATTGCGGCGCATGAACAGTTTAAGTCCACGCTCCCAGACGCAGACACGGAGCGGAAGGCCATCCAGGGCATGCACGAGCAGGTGCGCACCATCGGCCAGAGCAACAACATCAAGTTCAGCCTCACCAACCCCTACACCACCATCACCCCCGACAGCATTGGCCAGAAGTGGGAACAGGTGAGGCCCTCTGAGCTGCTGTCAGACTGTACAACAAACACTGAGGACTAACACTGCCACACTGTGCATCTGTGCAATAATCATTTAAATAATGATTTAGAATGTGCGATAACCACATGTCCCTGTGTCCGAGTATCGTGCTAACATCGTGCTAACATCGTGCTAGCATCGTGCTAGCATCGTGCTAACATCGTGCTAACATCGTGCTAACATCGTGCTAACATCGTGCTAACATCGTGCTAACATCGTGCTAGCATCGTGCTAGCATTGTGCTAGCATCGTGCTAGCATCGTGCTAGCATCGTGCTAACATCGTGCTAACATCGTGCTAACATCGTGCTAACATCGTGCTAACATCGTGCTAACATCGTGCTAACATCATGTACAGATGTAAACATACTTTATATCTCTGCTCTAGAATATACACAATGTATACTAGCTTCTTCATTATGCTAAAGTTAGTTTTTCTACTTACCTCTATTAAATGCAGGATGCTTTAGCTCCTTTCCCTGTGTCTCCTGTCCCTGTGTCTCCTGTCCCTGTGTCTCCTGTCCCTGTCCCTCCTGTCCCTGTGTCTCCTGTCCCTGTGTCTCCTGTCCCTGTGTCTCCTGTCCCTGTGTCTGCTGTCCCTGTGTCTCCTGTCCCTGTGTCTCCTGTCCCTGTGTCTGCTGTCCCTGTGTCTGCTGTCCCTGTGTCTCCTGTCCCTGTGTCTCCTGTCCCTGTGTCTCCTGTCCCTGTGTCTCCTGTCCCTGTGTCTCCTGTCCCTGTGTCTGCTGTCCCTGTGTCTGCTGTCCCTGTGTCTCCTGTCCTTGTGTCTCCTGTCCCTGTGTCTCCTGTCCCTGTGTCTGCTGTCCCTGTGTCTGCTGTCCCTGTGTCTCCTGTCCTTGTGTCTCCTGTCCTTGTGTCTCCTGTCCTTGTGTCTCCTGTCCTTGTGTCTCCTGTCCCTGTGTCTGCTGTCCCTGTGTCTCCTGTCCCTGTGTCTCCTGTCCCTGTGTCTCCTGTCCCTGTGTCTCCTGTCCTGTGTCTCTGTCCCTGTGTCTGCTGTCCCTGTGTCTGCTGTCCCTGTGTCTGCTGTCCCTGTGTCTCCTGTCCCTGTGTCTCCTGTCCCTGTGTCTGTCCTGTGTTCCCTGTGTCTCTGTCCCTGTGTCTGCTGTCCCTGTGTCTCCTGTCCCTGTGTCTGCTGTCCCTGTGTCTCCTGTCCTGTGTCTGCTGTCCCTGTCCCTGTGTCTGCTGTCCCTGTGTCTCCTGTCCCTGTGTCTCCTGTCCCTGTGTCTGTCCCTGTGTCTCCTGTCCCTGTGTCTCCTGTCCCTGTGTCTCCTGTCCCTGTGTCTGCTGTCCCTGTGTCTCCTGTCCCTGTGTGTGTCTGCTTCCTGTGTCCTTCCTGTGTCTGCTGTCCCTGTGTCTGCTGTCCCTGTGTCTCCTGTCCCTGTGTCTGCTGTCCCTGTGTCTCCTGTCCCTGTGTCTGCTGTCCCTGTGTCTCCTGTCCCTGTGTGTCCTGTCCCTGTGTCTGCTGTCCCTGTGTCTCCTGTCCCTGTGTCTCCTGTCCTGTGTCTGCTGTCCCTGTGTCTCCTGTCCCTGTGTCTGCTGTCCCTGTGTCTCCTGTCCCTGTCTGCTGTCCCTGTGTCTCCTGTCCCTGTGTCTCCTGTCCCTGTGTCTCCTGTCCCTGTGTCTGCTGTCCCTGTGTCTCCTGTCCCTGTGTCTGCTGTCCCTGTCCCTGTGTCTGCTGTCCCTGTGTCCTGTCCCTGTGTCTCCCCTGTGTCTCCTGTCCCTGTGTCTGCTGTCCCTGTGTCTCCTGTCCCTGTGTCTCCTGTCCCTGTGTCTGCTGTCCCTGTGTCTCCTCTGTGCTCCTGTCCCTGTGTCCCTGTGTCTGCTGTCCCTGTGTCTCTGTCCCTGTGTCTGCTGTCCCTGCTGTCCCTGTCTGTGTCCCTGTGGTCTCCTGTGTCTGCTGTCCCCTGTGTCTGCTGTCCCTGTGTCTCCTGCTGTCCCTGTGTCTGCTGTCCCTGTGTCTGCTGTCCCTGTGTCTCCTGTCCCTGTGTCCTCCTGTCCCTGTGTCTCCTGTCCCTGTGTCTGCTGTCCCTGTGTCTCCTGTCCCTGTGTCTCCTGTCCCTGTGTGTCCTGTCCCTGTGTCCTGTCCTGTGTCTCCTGTCCCTGTGTCTGCTGTCCCTGTGTCTGCTGTCCCTGTGTCTCCTGTCCCTGTGTCTCCTGTCCCTGTGTCTCCTGTCCCTGTGTCTGCTGTCCCTGTGTCTCCTGTCCCTGTGTCTCCTGTCCCTGTGTCTCCTGTCCCTGTGTCTCTGTCCCTGTGTCTCCTGTCCCTGTGTCTCCTGTCCCTGTGTCTCCTGTCCCTGTGTCTCCTGTCCCTGTGTCTCCTGTCCCTGTGTCTGCTGTCCCTGTGTCTGCTGTCCCTGTGTCTCCTGTCCCTGTGTCTCCTGTCCCTGTGTCTGCTGTCCCTGTGTCTCCTGTCCCTGTGTCTCCTGTCCCTGTGTCTGCTGTCCCTGTGTCTCCTGTCCCTGTGTCTGCTGTCCCTGTGTCTCCTGTCCCTGTGTCTGCTGTCCCTGTGTCTGTCCCTGTCCCCCCCTGTGTGTCTCCTGTCCCTGTGTCTGCTGTCCCTGTGTCTCCCTGTCCCTGTGTCTGCTGTCCCTGTGTCTCCTGTCCCTGTGTCCTGTCCCTGTCCCTGTGTGTCTCCTGTCCCTGTGTCTGCTGTCCCTGTGTCTCCTGTCCTGTGTCTGCTGTCCCTGTGTCTGCTGTCCCTGTGTCTCCTGTCCCTGTGTCTGCTGTCCCTGTGTCTGCTGTCCCTGTGTCTCCTGTCCCTGTGTCTGCTGTCCCTGTGTCTCCTGTCCCTGTGTCTGCTGTCCCTGTGTCTCCTGTCCCTGTGTCTCCTGTCCCTGTGTCTCCTGTCCCTGTGTGTCTGTGCTGTCCCTGTGTCTCCTGTCCCTGTGTCTGCTGTCCCTGTGTCTCCTGTCCCTGTGTCTGCTGTCCCTGTGTCTGCTGTCCCTGTGTCTCCTGTCCCTGTGTCCCTGTGTCTCCTGTGTCTGCTGTCCCTGTGTCTGCTGTCCCTGTGTCTGCTGTCCCTGTCCCTCCTGTCCCTGTGTCTCCTGTGTCTCCTGTCCCTGTGTCTGCTGTCCCTGTCCCTCCTGTCCCTGTGTCTCCTGTCCCTGTGTCTGCTGTCCCTGTGTCTGCTGTCCCTGTGTCTCCTGTCCCTGTGTCTCCTGTCCCTGTGTCTGCTGTCCCTGTGTCTGCTGTCCCTGTGTCTGCTGTCCCTGTGTCTGCTGTCCCTGTCCCTCCTGTCCCTGTGTCTCCTGTCCCTGTGTCTCCTGTCCCTGTGTCTGCTGTCCCTGTGTCTCCTGTCCCTGTGTCTGCTGTCCCTGTGTCCCCCGTCCCTGTGCTAACGTGTGTGTGTGTGTGTGTGTGTGTGTGTGTTGCAGACCTTGCAGCTGGTCCCTCAGAGAGACTCCGCCCCTGTGCTAACGTGTGTGTGTGTGTGTGTTGCAGACCTTGCAGCTGGTCCCTCAGAGAGACTCCGCCCCTGTGCTAACGTGTGTGTGTGTGTGTGTGTGTGTGTGTGTTGCAGACCTTGCAGCTGGTCCCTCAGAGAGACTCCGCCCCTGTGCTAACGTGTGTGTGTGTGTGTGTGTGTGTTGCAGACCTTGCAGCTGGTCCCTCAGAGAGACTCCGCCCCTGTGCTAACGTGTGTGTGTGTGTGTGTTGCAGACCTTGCAGCTGGTCCCTCAGAGAGACTCCGCCCTCCAGGAGGAGCTGTCTAAACAACAGTCCAATAACACGCTGCGCTGTCAGTTTGCTGCTCAGGCCAATGTGGTCGGGCCCTGGATCAAGCAGAAGATGGAGGTGATGTCACACACTGCCCTCTGCTGGAGACCAATGTCAACTGACTCCTGTGTCTCTTTCTCCAATGTTTGTGTGTCTCTGTGCGTGTGTGTGTGTCTGTCTCTGTGCGTGTGTTTGTGTGGTTGTGTCTCTGTGCGTGTGTGTGTGTGTCTGTCCCTGTGCGTGTGTTTGTGTGGTTGTGTCTCTGTGCGTGTGTGTGTGTGTCTGTCCCTGTGCGTGTGTTTGTGTGGTTGTGTCTCTGTGTGTGTGTGTGGTTGTGTCTCTGTGTGTGTGGTTGTGTGTGTGTGTGTCTCTGTCTCTGTGTGTGTGTCTGTGTGGTTGTGTCTCTGTGTGTGTGTGCGTGTGTTTGTGTGGTTGTGTCTCTGCGTGTGTGTGTGTGTGGTTGTGTGTCTCAGGAGATAGGCAGGATATCCATTGAGATGAATGGTACTCTGGAGGACCAGCTGACGAACGTGCGCGACTACAAAGAGGGCATCACTGAGTACAAGCCCAACATGGACACGCTCGAGGGCGTCTACAAACTCATCCAAGAGGCGCTGATCTTTGACAACATGTACACGCAGTACACCATGGAGGTGTGGCCAAGCACTTACTCTACATGTTAGCAGCAGCCCAGACCCAGAAGGTCCTGGGTTCGAATCCCGGCCGGACCAGGGCCTTTCTGAGTGGAGTTTGCATGTTCTCCCCGTGTCTGCGTAGGTTTCCTCCGGGTACTCCGGTTTCCCCTACCACTAAAACCATGTACAATAGTTCTGGCATGCGCCTCCTGTACTGGCCCCGCTCCCATCTCTGTGTGGAGTGAGAGACAAATGCCCAAAAAATAACAATTGTAAACCGCTTTGAGACTCTGGTCTGTGAAAGGCGGTATATAAATAAAGATTACTTACTTACTTACAGCACATGTTAGCAGCAGTACTCAGTTGTGTTGCTGTGTAGCAGCAGTACTCAGTTGTGTTGTTGTGTAGCACCTGCGTGTGAGCTGGGAGCAGCTGCTGACGACCATCGCTCGAACCATCAGTGAAATCGAAAACCAGATCCTGACACGAGACGCTAAAGGCATCAGCCAGGAACAGCTGCACGAGTACAGGGCCTCCTTCAACCACTTCGACAAGGTCAGAGCACGCTACATACATGTACTTCTACATGTACTTATACATACATGTACTTCTACATACATGTACTTCTACATGTACATGTACATGTACTACTACGTACATGTACTACTACATACATGTACTATTACATACATCTACTTCTACATACATGTACATACATATACTTATCTACATGCATGTACTTATCTACACACACACACAGTTGTATAGGAGTGTGCGTGTGGGAGGTGTGTGTGGAGCAGCAGCTGTGTGAGGTGTGTCCTGATGTGATGTCACACATTATTCAACAGTATCTTTAAAGGACACATGTTCTGTACATGACTGACACCTGTAGCTCAGTCTCCTGTAGCGCCCCCTGCTGACAGTCTCCTGTAGCGCCCCCTGCTGACAGTCTCCTGTAGCGCCCCCTGCTGACAGTCTCCTGTAGCGCCCCCTGCTGACAGTCTCCTGTAGCGCCCCCTGCTGACAGTCTCCTGTAGCGCCCCCTGCTGACTGTCTCCTGTAGCGCCCCTGCTGACTGTCTCCTGTAGCGCCCCCTGCTGACTGTCTCCTGTAGCGCCCCCTGCTGACAGTCTCCTGTAGCGCCCCCTGCTGACAGTCTCCTGTAGCGCCCCCTGCTGACAGTCTCCTGTAGCGCCCCCTGCTGACAGTCTCCTGTAGCGCCCCCTGCTGACAGTCTCCTGTAGCGCCCCCTGCTGACTGTCTCCTGTAGCGCCCCCTGCTGACAGTCTCCTGTAGCGCCCCCTGCTGACAGTCTCCTGTAGCGCCCCCTGCTGACAGTCTCCTGTAGCGCCCCCTGCTGACAGTCTCCTGTAGCGCCCCCTGCTGACAGTCTCCTGTAGCGCCCCCTGCTGACAGTCTCCTGTAGCGCCCCCTGCTGACAGTCTCCTGTAGCGCCCCCTGCTGACAGTCTCCTGTAGCGCCCCCTGCTGACTGTCTCCTGTAGCGCCCCCTGCTGACTGTCTCCTGTAGCGCCCCCTGCTGACTGTCTCCTGTAGCGCCCCCTGCTGACTGTCTCCTGTAGCGCCCCCTGCTGACTGTCTCCTGTAGCGCCCCCTGCTGACTGTCTCCTGTAGCGCCCCCTGCTGCTGTCTCCTGAGCGCGCCCTGCTGACTGTCTCCTGTAGCGCCCCCTGCTGACTGTCTCCTGTAGCGCCCCCTGCTGACTGTCTCCTGTAGCGCGCCCTGCTGACTGTCTCCTGTAGCGCCCCCTGCTGACTGTCTCCTGTAGCGCCCCCTGCTGACTGTCTCCTGTAGCGCCCCCTGCTGACTGTCTCCTGTAGCGCCCCCTGCTGACTGTCTCCTGTAGCGCCCCCTGCTGACTGTCTCCTGTAGCGCCCCCTGCTGACTGTCTCCTGTAGCGCCCCCTGCTGACTGTCTCCTGTAGCGCCCCCTGCTGACTGTCTCCTGCAGCGCCCCCTGGCTGCTGACTGTCTCCTGCAGCGCCCCCTGCTGACTGTCTCCTGCAGCGCCCCCCTGCTGACAGTCTCCTGCAGCGCCCCCTGCTGACAGTCTCCTGCAGCGCCCCCTGCTGACAGTCTCCTGTAGCGCCCCCTGCTGACAGTCTCCTGTAGCGCCCCCTGCTGACAGTCTCCTGCAGCGCCCCCTGCTGACAGTCTCCTGTAGCGCCCCCTGCTGACAGTCTCCTGCAGCGCCCCCTGCTGACTGTCTCCTGTAGCGCGCCCTGCTGACAGTCTCCTGCAGCGCCCCCTGCTGACAGTCTCCTGTAGCGCGCCCTTATTACTATGAGCTCGTTTAAAAGTAGTAATTGGAGGTAAGAGAGAAACTGTGTTGGAGCAGCTCTCAGCTGTTGGACTGAATACATCTGGACTTTAATCTGCTGGAATCATTTTCAAATTCACTATATACAATATTATACTTTAACATTTATGTTAACTAAGTAAATAGTAGAGCATCAGTGTAGGAGCCTGTGTCAGACTGAACCTGGCCCCTGAGGCCCCTGAGGCCCCCAGAGCCGGTCACTATAGTCTGTGTAGAGGCAGAATCCGTGTCCTTTAGAGTCCTCTTGTACATGTTTACATCCTGACACACACCCCCAGCTCTGGGCTGGGGCTGGGCTGGGGCTGGGCTGAGGTCCAGGTTCCAGGTGAGAGGCGGGGCTTTGTCATGCTGTCATGTACTGTTGCCATGGAAACTGCCATTGTCCTCATCACACACCATGTGCATGTCAGGGCTGTGTGAAGGACCAGAGCGAGCCTCCGGAAAACTACATTTTAATGAAATGACTTGCACATATAAAAGTTAGTCTTTTTGTTTTCAGACTTGTTCCGCTGATATAGAATAAACTCACCTGTTTGTGGTGAGGGAGTAAACAGTCTTTGATCATTTTCAGAAGTTAGATTAAAAAGTACTGATTGTTCAGTCACTATCAAGACGTATTTATTCAGTTTACTGTAAGAATTCAGCGGGAATCAAAGATGGCTGCCACAGTGTCTCTCCTTCATACAGCTCTGTCCATCCTGTCATTGTCACGCTGTCTAAACGTACTGCATCTGTCCCCCATCCGTTCCCCATCCGTCTCCCATCTGTCCCCCATGTCTCCCCCATGTGTGTCCCCCTCACCCACCATCCTCACGGGGCTCTCGTGGCCTGGCCTGGCCTCCTCAGGACCACAGTGGGGCCCTGATGGCCGAGGAGTTCAAGGCCTGCCTCATCAGCCTGGGCTACGATGTGGAGAACGACAAGCAGGTATGTGGGGAGGGGGGGGAGGCCGGACCATAGACTGTGGGGGAGAGGGGGAGGGAGAGGACCATAGACTGTGGGAGAGAGGGGGGAGAGAGAGGACCATAGACTGTGGGAGAGAGGGGGGAGAGAGAGGACCATAGACTGTGGGAGAGGGGGGAGGGAGAGGACCATAGACTGTGGGGGAGAGAGGGGGGAGGGAGAGGACCATAGACTGTGGGAGAGGGGGGAGGGAGAGGACCATAGACTGTGGGAGAGGGGGGAGAGAGAGGACCATAGACTGTGGGGGAGAGGGGGGAGGGAGAGGACCATAGACTGTGGGAGAGGGGGGAGAGAGAGGACCATAGACTGTGGGAGAGAGGGGGGAGAGAGAGGACCATAGACTGTGGGGGAGAGAGGGGGAGGGAGAGGACCATAGACTGTGGGAGAGGGGGGAGGGAGAGGACCATAGACTGTGGGAGAGGGGGGAGAGAGAGGACCATAGACTGTGGGGGAGAGGGGGGAGGGAGAGGACCATAGACTGTGGGAGAGGGGGGAGGGAGAGGACCATAGACTGTGGGAGAGGGGGGAGGGAGAGGACCATAGACTGTGGGAGAGG